ATGGATGGAACTAGAAGAAAGCATCCTGAGTGAGGTAACCCAATCACAAGACAAACATGGTACGTACTCACTCATATATGAATTTTAGACATACAGAAAAGGTTTACCAGCCTATAATCCTCTTCACCAAAGAAACTAGGAATCATGAAGGACTCAAAGGAAAAAAAAGCCCCCAGGAGGGGGAGGTGGCATGACCCCCTGAGCTAATGGGGAGCAGGGGGGTAGGGGAGAGGGTGCTGCCACAATAAGAGCACAAGAAGAGGAATAGAGGAGAGGAAATGGAGGAGCAGAGATATTGAGTAGGGGGAATAATAGAGGAAGAAGAGCAGGATGAGAGATACCATACTAGAGGGAGTCACTATAGGTCCGAGAAGAGATCTGGAACTAGGGAGATCTCCAGAAACCTACAAGGATGACACGATATGACAATCCAGGCAATGGAAGAGAGGATAACCTAAAAGCCCTTCCCCTAAAATGAGCCCTCATCCAGTGGCTGATGGAAGCAGAGACAGACATCCACACTGGAATTTAGTTGAAGAGAGGGAGGAATGAAGATCGAAGGGGTCTGTACCAGGTTGGAGAAACCCACAGAAACAGTTGGCCTGAACAAGGGAAAGCATATCGACCCCAGATGCTATCTGGGAGGCTAGTAAAAGACTGATCCAGCCCCCTGAACATGGATGCCAATAATGAGGCCCCTGCACTCCAGGGAGCCTCTGGAAATGGATTAGCATTTTTCCCTGGTGTAAGAAGGGACTTTGAGAGCCCATCCCACAGGAAGGGATGCACTCTGTCTCAGGACACATGGGGAAGGGCCTAGGCCCAGCACAGGAAGATTTGGTGGACGTATAAGAATGTCCTAATAATAATGTTCCGGTGTCTACTCTAATTTGTGAATGTACTTCCATTTCCACTAGGATATGGAAGAAGCTTTTCCCATATTTTGATACTTCCCTGGTTGTAGTACACTTTGCCAGTAGAATATGCTAGAAGTGATGGTATTCCTGATCTAGATTAGAACATAACCACACATGAAATCTTTGCCAAGAACATAGAAAACTAACATGGAATTTTGCAAAGTAATGAAATAAAGCCTAGGCTCATTGGAAGAAGAATTAAGAACTATTAAGATGAGATAAATGTTCTACATGAGAAAGATGTCAAGGGAGTACATGCAGATGAAACAGGCTCCACTACAAACAATGTAATCTACATCTTGGAGCAGATATGACAGAACACATCCGAGAGCAGAAAAATCTATATGAGGTCAGATGAGATAGGCAAAAAAATCTAACCACAGAATGATTAGTTCCATAAATGTTTTATATGTGGAGCCTATACATGGAAATTGGTCGTTTCTTTAATTCATAAAAATATTCATGATAAAAGTAAATGGCCTCCTATTTGAAAAGTAATTTAATGTCTACATGGTTTGAAGAAACTTGACAGAAAATTAAATTTAGAGAGGTTAAATACCTAAGTGTCAAAATATATGTGTGTAGAAAAATGCAATATAGAAAAAATACTTTAAAGATCTAAAATTATGTGGTCCAAGTGAGCATTTCAGAAGACAAAGGGGCATTTCATTCATTAAAGTTTACTAAATATATTGCCAATGCAATGTTGAAGCCCAAACAAATCTGTCTTCAATGCAATTCTAATTCTGTAAGGCAACAAAAACTATGGTGATTTCACAGAAAAGAATAAAACCATTCAAATATATATAAAAGAAAAAAGCATGGGAAACAAGGTAGAAGGACTAGGTTGATATAGGATCCTGAGTTTCCAATGAAGTTTATATGAGAAAGAGTGTGAACTATTTTGAAGCCCACAGTCTCATGCATCACCTGTATGTTTTCTTTGATATGCTCTTCATTGAAAGTGCTGTTGAGGGCCACAATCCCACGCTGCAACTGGTAGCGAAGGGCGATCAAGGCTGGAGTTCGATTGTATTTTTTTGCCATGCAATGAAGAACTGGTTCATCCAAGAGAACAGGGGAGTTCTGGTCCACCCTGGGATGATAAGTAGGAAGGCTAAATTCCTCAATCTAAAGCATGTAAAGAAGTGTCAAATGTACAGGAAGGAATGTGGAGTTTCCCAAGTGTCTTCCTGGACTGGTAACACTGATATCATCTTTCATTCTCTCCAAAAAACAAATTATCTCTGCTTCAAGATCACATGGGTATGAACTTAGAATTGTAGGACTACAGGTATGTCAACAATAATTGTTAATTTCTGTTTAATTTTTAATGACCACATTACCAGCCTGTATATCGTTGTGTTCCCAGAACACCATAGGCAACCAGTGCAATGTCATTTGACTTGCAGAAATCCAGAAGTTTCATTTGGTTGAGATAAGGATGACATTCTACCTGAAGAGGAATGAATAAAGATACCATATTACATGAAATACCGCACTGATATAAAGAAAAATATTAACATACAATAAGCTAAAAAGGAAATTCTGTATAACAACGTATGAATTGACTATAACAAAATCAAGACTTAAGGAAATAACCCCCTACCCATTCTGATGCAAGAAACTTTGATTAATTGTAGTGGGTCATTAAAAAACTGAAAACAGAGGTTGTTAAGAAGTAGAGGGTGTTTTGTGGGAGTGGACAAAGGAATATAAAGGATAATTAGGGGATTTCAACCAGGGAGCATATAAAAATTTTCAACAGAACACATACAATTTTTTCAGTGTTTAAAAGAAATTACTGGATTTGTGCATGGCTCTATTTCTGTCCAGAATTTAGGATACTGAGGAATCTCTCTCTCTCTCTCTCTCTCTCTCTCTCTCTCTCTCTCTGTGTGTGTGTGTCTCTCTGTCTGTCTGTCTCTGTCTCTGTCTCTGTCTCTGTCTCTGTCTCTGTCTCTGTCTCTGTCTCTGTCTCTGTCTCTGTCTCTGTCTGCCTGTCTGTCTGTCTGTCTGTCTGTCTGCCTGTCTGTCTGTCTGTCTCTGTCTCTGTCTCTCTCTCATACATCACTGAATATTTTTGGAGCTCCTAGGACAACTTGGGCTAATGAATTCTTTACTTCTACCATGTAAATTATCCCACTCAGATTTTGAGGCTTGGTGACAAATACATTTACTCACAAATCCATCTCACTGGCCCCATGACATATATGTTTCATTGATAGATTTATTGCACATTTGAGCTTCATAAAGCCACGTTTATATAACTGTACTTTGTATATGGACTCCATTCACTCTCGGCCCCCATTACTCCCTAGTCCCATAATTTCCATTCAATTCCCCAAAACTTTATTTTTAAAAATTCTAATGTCTTATGTTCCTGGGAGGAGTTGAAATAATCATTTTGAGTTAAATCAACCTTTGCACAAAATCCTGTGTGCAAATACACAATTCCTCTTTGTAGAATCATGACAGAGGATAGCTGTACAATAGAGAATAGATATATTAAGTTTTGAGTATTAAATAGTAAATAAAGCATGAACTATAAAATCTATAGGTTGAAATAGCCAGTTGGGCACAGACCTTCAATTTGAGTTTATTCAAATGAATGAAGTAATTTGAAATCAAGAATTTCTTAAGAATGCTCACACAAAAATAGGTAATTGGACATAGAAAACATAAACTCCATGTCACTATCTATTGTAGTTACTATAGCAACTCCTTTCTAAGAATATTGGAAACTAAAGGTATAACTTTTACAAATAGCTATGGTGGAACTAGATTTACTATGTGAATTTTCTTCAGTAGCTAATGAGACAAGAAGTAACAGCACAGCTAAAAGGGAGAATTAGCATTGTTAAACTGACACAAAGTAACTGAGTTAGGCAAAAATCTTTCATGGATTCTCCAATATTATGTGACAGTTCATTATAATGTATAAATTCCTTCTTATAAACAATTATGCCCCCATGTCACAGTAATTGCAATGGAGTAATAATGATGAAAAAATAGACATCCATGAGACTAGCATTACCACACAGTCAAATGGAACATGGCCAACAATGGGACACTGTAACACTATATGATACTTTATTGACTTCCAAATGGACATTGGCTATCAGGAGGATGGTTACTTGGCAAAAAAAATTAACGTTAGTGTAATAAGCCATTCAAACTTAACTTTTAGTCATACAAGATTATAGTGATAGAAAAGCTATCCTTCAGTAAAACATAAATATTGAAATTAATCCAGTACTTTAAATATTCTTCCTAAATATCATTTTAAAAAGCACTGGTCAATATGAATGCATAAAATAGCTGGAAAAATATTTTGGAAAGATGTATAAAAATCGTTTTACCTTGATGAGAGAAGAACTACCTGATGGGCAATGTTCTTCTGTGTTTATGTTTCTCTTATTGGTTAATGAATAAAACACTGATTTACCAATTGGTCAGACAGGAAGTAACATAGCTGGGTAGAATCAGGATATAAATAAGGACAAACAAGAAATTGTTCTTTTCTCTGCCGAGATGCTGAGCAGTCATCACAGAGCAGGATAAGGAGTTGCAGGTCCAGGATTCCCCAGTAAGCCAAGACCACATGGAAATACATGAACTAATAGAAATGGGTTAATAATTAAGACAGAGATAGCCAGTAAGAAACCCTATCAGCAGCCAACAGATTTTTAATTAATATAGCATCCGTGTGTTTATTTGGCACTCAAGGACTGTGGGACTTGGCAGGACAAGAAAAGTTATTGTAAAAAAAATGGAGCCTAATATGAGGAATGACTTGCCATATAAACCTGACAAAAGCTTTAAAACGGATTTTAGAAACAAAAGAACAGAGACAAACATGGCTTTTTGGTTAAAGCATTTTCTCTCGTGGATTCTGTTTTGCTAGAGACAAGCAGACACTCGCTCCTTTTAGGGAGTCTTCCTGACTTAACATAAGTGGAAAAAACTGCACACCTCTTTTAAGAGGCCCTGCTAAAAACTTAATGGTATGTATGGGCAGCTGGCGGTGGCAGTGACCACATCTCCAAGCCAGCAGCAAGCTTCTTGACAGCAGCATAGACCAAGGTGGTGAGGACACTTCCCAGTGCTGGCAATAAACTTAACCCCAACATGTTGGAAAGCCAGAGGCTAAAACAGTCACTGTTTTAATTTTAACAATTTTGCTTAGCAGATAAAAGACTCATGCCCAGAAAAAGATAGGTTTACAGTAAAAACAGATTCCGAAATAGTAAAACCTCTAAAGGGTTTACACTCTGTTTAAAAGTATACATACACTGTGAGAGAAAAGAAACAGGATAAAGTGGTTAAAAAGAAAGAAAGAAATACTTAGCTGTGGTGGTGGCAAACACCTTTAATCCCAACACTCAGGAGGCAGAGGCAAGCATATCTCTGTGATTTCAAGGCCAGTCTGGTGTACAGAGTGAATTCCAGGACAGACAAATGTACACAGAGAAACCCTGTCTCCGAAAATGAAAAAAACAACTAAAGGAAAAGAAAGAGAGTAATACATAAAAGCCACACACAGATAGAAAATACACAGGGGATCTGGATACTATATGCTATTGTATTGTTTGAATTTTTTGGTTGCTGAAAAAAGAGCAAAAGCTAGTAACAGATATTTGATTATAAATGCTGCTGGATTTATTCAACTTATATATTTTAAAAATGCCTTGACTTCAAATTTAAATTTAAGGACATGTTACTTTGGAAAAGAGGCTTTATTTTTGTTTCCACAGAAAACAAAAGGTGTGGATTCCTTCCAGACTAATATAGTTTGATCAAGCAAGACTCCCTGAAGCAATGGTCCAGGTGAACCAACATCTAAAACAGCTGAGATGATGCAGCCTTGCAGACTACAACAAGGACTTCGAAAGCTTTCTGTGTTTTCTGGGGATCCCCATGGTATTTCAGTGCCCCAAACAGCAGGAAGCAGTTTGGAGAGAATGACAGCCACATTCCTAAATATTGTTTATAAATGTTTGTTTTCATTTAAATGGGGTTGATTATAAATGGTTAATGACCACAGTCAATCTCCTTCTAAAGAATAAAAGGGGAAATGATATAGAAATGAATATTTTGCATTGGTATGGGTTTTCATTTATCAATACAAATTTAAGGTCAGTTTTCCTATATGTATATTTCTCCTCCTGTTTAGGTATTGTATTTATACAGGTCTTTTAAAATGCAATGTATAATTAAATACAGATTATATCTAGTCACCTATAATAGTAAAAACTTAGTTAGGTTTTTTTAGATATATGGAGATATATTTGAGATGAATAGATAGTCTTCAATCTTTTCAAAGACCTTCAGAAAATGGCATTTAAAATGAGGGTTTTTCATGACAGTGAGACAACTACTCCTGGAAACACCAATTTTGTCAGAGAGGAAGATGTGCATCAAAGAAACTTGTTATGGAGTTTGCTTTTGATATAGCAAGACTAGCCATTTTGGCAAGAAACTGCTCTTTTATAGACTGTTTGACTGTATGCTTTATAAAGTGGATATACAGGACCTGCAGGAAAGTGATTGCTGAACTTGCAAAACAAAATGGAACAGTCCTGAAGGGTTCTTGCTTCACAGAAGTGTCTGCCAGATATTTTATAAGACACAAAGAAAAAGGACTGACAAACTGCCAATGTAGGTGAACAGTTTAAAATTTCCTTCTGCACTGAGAAGTCTGGCAGACACACTGTGACCTATGGGCTTGAAGACGGATGCTCCAACATCCAGAGGAACTTTGGGTGACTGACCAGGCAGTGAGATGTCTCTGTCAATTCTAGAGTTTATATATTATCCTCCTGTGGTCTTTGATAAAGTTGAAGATAGATAGTTATGATTATGGTTTTCCTTAGTTATGATAAAAAATAAGTTACATATAAGACTTTAGACTCACAAAGATAGGATAGATGATAGAATATTTTCATTAAATTTTGCTAAATGTCAATGGACTGCATATTGTTAACTATATTTCTTATTTGATAGCTGTTTTGTTACATTTTTGACTATGTTAAAGTTAATACCCTTTTTATTTAGACAGAAAAGATGAGATCATGGGGAATGTTCTGCTGTCTACATGTTTCTCTTACCAGTTAATGAATAAAACACTGACTGGCTGATTGGCCCAACGGAAGTGATGGAGCTAGGCAGAATCAGGATATAAGCAGGGAAAACAGGAAATTGTTCTCTTCCCTGCAGAGATACTGAGCAGTATTATGTAGCAGGCTAAGGAGTTACAGGTCTAGTATTCTCAGGTAAGCCAAGGCCACATAGAAATACATGGATTAATAAAAATGGGTTAATAATTAAGACAAAGCTAGACAATAAGAAACCCTGATCACCAACCAACAGATTTCTAACTAAAATAGCATCAGTGTGTTTACTTGGGGCTCAACGGCTGCAGGACTTAGCAAGTCAGAAAACTTATCATAACAACTAACTAAGATGATTTTGGAGAACATGGAAATGTTACTGTGAATTAGTAATTAATAGCAGCATGAGATCTAGAGAAATGGCTCAATGGTTAAAGTAATTGCTACGCAAAGAAGGAAGTCTGGAGTTCAGACCCAAAGGCCGTATATAAACTTGAGATGGGCAGACTGCTCTGCCCATATTTCTAGTCTTTGAGGACATAGACACAGAATACAGCTAGCAAGACTAGCTGTGATAATATCTTGTTTGTACAAATCAAGTATGTCTGAAGATCAGAGGGTGGAGCTTGCCTCTAGGTAACAGATAGGCAAGAAGTGAGATGGCTGGGCAGAGAAAGAAATATAGACAGGAAGAAACAGGAACTCAGTGTCTTTTCAACTGGGAAGTTGGCAAGGTAAGACATGCTGTGACTTACTCCTTCGTCTCTCTGACCTTTGAGCTTTTACCCCTCTATGTGACTCCTGGCTTTTATTATTAAGATCTGTTAGAACTCATGTTACAACTAGCCTTATTAAAATTGGGTTTGAATGAGAGATCGCGTTTCAAAGAACAAGCTGTAGAAGAAGACTTCTGACATCAGCCTTAGGCCTTCATATATGCATTTACACATACTGTATGTACACCATAAGCACATACACAAGAAAAGAAAACATATAGGATGGAATGTTATAAACTTGGTTCTCATGATACAAATCCAACCATAAAAAACATGTGTCTTCATTCCTAGGAGAAGCTTTATAAAGTCACTAGAGGTTGGTAATGATACCTGCATCTAACTTTGAAAAGTTTTGTAACATATTGCACACATATATCAGTATGTAATCACATACACATTATTATGATTGGCAGTCTCACAAAATGTCAACAATTTTGGACATATATGAAGAAATGTAGAAAATTTGTACTATCAATTCAAATTTCTTACTTGCTTTAATCATAAAATCACATAAAAATTATTAACATCACATTATTTTTTTATTTTAATATTAGAATATCTAGTGATTTGTTCCTTATATGCCAAGAACATAAATAATATATACCCTCATTTCCTATATGTGACTTTAAATTGTCTGCTTCAAGTTGTTATAAATATCTGAGAGAATGGAACCACAGGTACAAGGAAGCACTTCACACTTCATTTGATGACACAAACCCAAAAAGCAAATTGAAATATGGTCAGGAACAAAGACAGCTAAAGTAGTGTTCAAAGTTTCTGAATATTAATTTTACATACTCAACTAATATCACCACAAACAACAAACATCCTCCTCCTAACCTGAATGAAAATTGTAGTCTACTGTAATTCTTAATGTAGCCAAGTCTTATGCCATAATCAACAAAGAATATAAACCATACAGAAACACAATCATCATCTGTTACTTCACAGAATCCTTGTTTGCTGGATGTCTTAAGCTTTCTCAGTCTTATATAATCACAGTTCCTTACAGAAGCCCCCACATTAATCATTGTTCATTCTTAATATATGAGGTATAAGTTCACCTTTCATTAAGTGTGCTCAATGACTACAGTCTATCATGATCATTTCATACCTCTCTAAAATCTGCTAAAAAAGTATCTTTGAACATTTTCCACTAAGACTTAAGAGAGTAAAACACAATCAACTGTCATAAATATCCTATGCATAAATACTCTGCTGTTAGCTTCTGTTCTTCCACAAAGGTGAGATGAATGTGAAGAGTACTTACCAACCAGTGACCAGTAGGGTAACAAAGGAAGGGACAAGGAGAAGACTCCCACCTGATTGCACACAGGCTTGTACTTGAGCCCTGGCTTGTTAAGGATCATCTCCAGCTGCCTGCGGTTAAAGTTAGATACTCCAATGGACTTGGTCAGTCCTGCATCCTTACACTTCTCCATGGCCTAAAGAAGAAAGCATAGTTACAAAATATTTTATGGGGTTGCATTACCACTTTGTTTCTATTACATTTAATTCATGCATGCTACCCTAGCTCTTAAAACAGTCCTTGGAAATAGCCTCAGTTTTTTGACACATAATACATACCCCACTCCCATGAATGAAATTGTGGCTAAACCTTTACTCTCATTGCGTTCCGTCCTGTGCTCTCTCAACCCAGTACTCACTTCCCAGGTGACACAGAGATCCACTGTGTCAAATATTAATTTTCCATGTTCATCCACTGGAAACTCCTCTTCTCCTGGCTGGAAGAGAAGAAAATGTTACAGTAACATCTTTACAAATGCATTTTTCCAACCAATGTACAGGGGGTACTGAGAACTAAACTTCCATAAGATAGGTGGATCATAATTATATTTGTCATGTATCTTGAAAAAGTGTATGAAATCCCCTTGGATACTAGAATTCTATTTTTCTTAATGCATTATATATGTTCAAAAATACTGCATCTCTGGGTCAATGTAGAGTGTCCTAGTTGACTTTTATAATTGTTTATGGATGACCAATTTAGGTTTCTTCCCTGTAGAAGACTATTTCTCTTCCTCTAATTCTTTAGCTGCCTGTAGTTCTTTGTCTAGTGTGGAGGCCTCATGAGATTTTCCTCTCCCACATTAACCTGTATCCTGGTCCTTGTTCAGGTCTTCTTTAGTTGGCATGGTGGTAAGAATTTGTGAACATAGCTTCCCTGTTATCTCTAGAAGATTCCATCTCACAGAAAACTTTCTACTCCTCTGAATCTTACAATTATTTTGCCCTATCCTCTACTATGATCCCTGTACCTTAGCAGAAGTTCTATTTTAGATGCACAGAACATGTAGTTACCACAATATTAAACCATCATGATTATAAACTATTCTAGATCAAGTATTTCTGGAGATTCAAATGACATACTTTCAGGGCCATTGGGAAATGCATGATATATAGGTCCACATAGTCCAACTGAACTTTCTTCAGTGACTGTTCCAAGGAAGATCTCACCAATTCTGGACGAAGGCAATTACACCAAACCTACAGTAGAAGATAGAATTCTGGTGGAATCAATACATTCTAGTAACTTGTTCTTTTACTTTACCTAACACAGAAACATTTTTCTACTTATTTGAAATTGATATACACAGGGGGAATACTCCACTTCTCTTCCCAGATGTTCTTTACTATGATCCAGACATGCATATATCTCATTTTCATTAAGATTTAATCTTGCAAAATACTCAATACCCAACATTTTAATCAAGCAATAATAATTGTCATCATCAATATTATGTTACAGATCCATTCTGTAAATAGTACCTTGGATGTGTAAAATATATCTTCTCTCCTCAGAGTGCCATCAGCAATCTTCGTCCTGATGGACTCTCCCACATACTCTTCAGTTTTATAAATAGAAGCACAATCAAAATGATAGATGCCAGCTTCTATAGCTATTTTGATGGGCTCCTTAATCTTGCTCTTGGAAAACTGAGGAGAAACAACAGGTGCCATTTATAGATAGATAGGCCTAAGTCAGAATGTTTTCAGGCAGAAAATGTAACCTGTCTGGTATCAACTTTTCCCCACATCTTTTATAGTAAAGACAGACTCCATCTAAGTTCATTGTGACATTTTTCTATGGGGTAACAAGAGTAAGGCAATTGGGGAACTGCTTCCGTTTTTGGCAATCATAGGTTATTCATTATCACAGGACCCAGGACTTGCCATAGGGAATCATTAGAACAGTAAAAACAAAACAAAAAATTACACAGGAAAATATGCTACAATTGACATAAAAATTAAATGTGTTGTAAGGCAATGCCCATCACCCCCAAGTTAAGGCCATAAAACTGAGTTCAAAGTTCTAGCAAGTCAGCTATTTGATGATTTCAGAAAACAAACAGCTATCCATGTCCCTAAAAAATTGCTGATTGCAAAAATCAAACAGACCATGCAGTTTCAAAAACACCTAATTTAGGAAAAATAACTAACTTCCCTAGTCTGTCACTAATGTCCCTCTCTTTCTTCTTCCCTATCATTTGCTACAAAAATATAGCTTAAAAGACATCAGCTATGTTCTCTTGAATTCTGGTGATTGAGTGACTGGGTCCTGTGCCATGATCAAAGTGTGGCCACAACTTGAGAACTGACATTCTCTGGCATCAAATAAAACTTTCTCTAGCTTTTGAGATAGTTTAAATTCTCATCCTTTGTTTCTTCCTACAAACTTAAATCTTGCATATTCTCTATGAGCCTTCTCTCAAGAAAACAAGATAGCACTCATCAATTTCCCTAAATACATACTTCAAAAATTGTGTTCTAATGTTCAAATGAATACTATTTAGAGCCTCCATTCAAAGATCTTCAAATCCTGACTCCAAATCAAATTACTTGTCCAGACAGTACAATTGCCACCCACATATTACAAAATCAGTGCTCTTCTTTTTATCAATAAAATTACAACACACAATGGCACACCTGCTATCTTTTCTAGACACTACCTTTTGCTTCTTTTGAATGCCTTAGGTACTACCAATTTTCTCCTGCGTTTCATTCTACTATCCTCCACAGTTTAACCAAATCTTACCATTGTTCTTCTTCATTGTCCTTTGGAAACTTTAAAAAAGACTTTAGTCTATCGAGATGACTGAACAAATTAAACATTTATCAACAATCCTGAAGACATTTTTTCAGTCTCTGAGAACCACAAGGTGGAAAAGAAATGACCTAAGGCTTTTGGTCTCTGTCCTCCACAATGCTACTATGGCAAGCACTAACACAAACACACTCACAAAGAGAGAAAGAGGGGGATAGGGAGAATGAGGGAAAAGAAAGAAGAGGAGAGAAGGGAGAGAACAAGCAAAATTAAAAAGAATAAATATATAGAACAAAAGAGTAAATTCAAAGCTCTGGAACTAGTACATAGACACACATCTGTGGTCAGGCTAAGCAAATTCCTGGAAAGCAGCTTTGATTGCAGGCAAGTGAACTCTCCAGTTCCATGCTTTCATTACAAAGAATTGTTTGCACCATTTTGTATTAAATCCAACATGTTGAATCCACATTTCTGCTAGAACATTGTGCAATTTTATTTCTGGTTATTTCTCTTGCACCAGGAATAGTTACTGGAGTTGGAGTTAGTCCCACAATCAAAATGAATAACAACAGCATTAGAATGGCTGAGAGGGATTAAAGGTTCAAATCTGGCATGTTTGCAGAATGATACCCAAAAATAACACATGGGGACATCTACTCAGCCCATATCCTATAAATAAAATGAGATACAAAGTCAAACTCTAAGTAGAACACCAAAGTTAAATGACTCACATATCTCATCTTAGAAACCTTATTGTACTAATATCTTTACAAATTGGCTTTATGAAAGTTTAAAATACCTTCAACAAAAAAAATGAGTAAAAAAAAACCTCTCCAGTTACAATCAACTTCCTATTGAGGAAGCTTATAGCCAATTTTATTTTTACCTATTTCATATATAATTTATGTAGACAAATTTGTAGCTTAATAGGAAAAAAGTGTTAGAATGTATGAAATATTGAACATCAGCATGTTTCTTTAAAGCTAGATTCTTTTAAAAATTCTGTTTTGATTAATATGTATTAATTTCATATACTAATCATGTTCAGTGACCATATACCCTGAATAAAAAGAGACAGCACATCTGGAATGCCCCACAATTTCCTTACTTTTGCCTTCCTTATTTTCCTCCATTTTGGATATTGAAACATACTTGTTAAGTTACTGCAAACCACATTCTTCCTCCAAACTGAGAAACACACAAACTTACTCTTTCTATCTAATTGCTTTTTTAATCCACAAATTCTCTTGATCATTGTTCACCCCCTGTCATTTCTAGCCTCAGTCTCTAGTGATAAATGTTTATCATTCAAGTTGAGTTGCTACAGTTTCCTCTTCTAAGGCAGAATAAGTAGCTGTTTTTCTTTCACAGGAAATAAGAATGGTACAATAGTCAGATCTATATCACTACAAATGAAAGAAAACCATTTTCTTTTAAGAATGAAATTTTCACAATGAATAGATGATATATTTTCTTATTTATACTTTAAAATAACTTTTAATGGGTACAACCACTGCATATGGTACCATGTAATAGGGACATTTTCATACGAGTATATATAATGTTGTTGAGCATGGGCTCCAAACAACAGTGTTCTCCTTTCCTATCTCCTTTTCTTTTTCTCCATATTAATCTACTTTGTTAACCTAAAAATTCAATTTATGCAAGACATGTATACACACATGAACATGTATATCTTCATAAAATCAATTAGCTGTTAATTAAGGGAAAATGATGTTAGTCCCTTTGAGACCAGGTTTATTTGCTTTATGTAATTATTTTCATTTTCTTAAAAACAACATACTCTCAGTCATCATTGTGGTTGAATGCATATGTATATGTATATTTTACATTTGTTTTGATGTTGGGCACCTAGGTTGGATTCATGACTTAAATATTGTGAACAGTGTTACAACAGAGACTAGTTAACAAATATTTCTGCAATGAGTTTACTTGATGTCCTTGGATAGTCAACCAGGAGTGACATATTATATTTTCTTTATCTATGTATAGAATTATGGGCATGTTAATGGATTCCATGTATCACATATAATAAAAATGGTACAACAGACAAAGAGAATTAGATAATAGCATCTATATAGGCAATGCCTTTTAAATATGTCTCTCAAAGCATAAGAAACAACAGGAGAAATATAAAAAATAAAATCATATTGAAATTTGAGACTTCACCACCACAAAGCCCATACCCTGTAATTAAAAGGTAAAAGCCACTCAAGAGAAGAGAAAATGAAGAGCCATTCTTATCACACAGAACTAGTGTTGGAATTTTGTGTATAATTAAAGACTAACAAAAGCCATATAATCCATATTTTTAAATGGGCAGCCTATCAGAATGGAAGTGAGAATCCAGGAAGCCCAGCATCACTAAGAAGAGAGTGACTTTGCAAGTCAGGTACACTTGCCCTTATTCTGGTTCCATTTCTTCAGAACCCTCGACTCCAACATTACTGTTTTTACCTTTTCAGGTACAGCAGTACCAAAGCCCAGCACAGGAATGAAGTGCCCATCATTGAGTTTCATACATTGAATCTTGGAGTTCATCCTCTTTTATTCTTCAGGATAAACTGGATCTGCCTGGTGTTCTCTCTCACAGGTCACTCAAGAAATGGGAGTCCCTCCTCTGCCTTCCAGGCTAAAGAATAGTCCATGACACGTGGGAGGACTTAAGCTGATTTCCATAAGTGAGGCTAAAAGGAGAGCCACTTAAGGTATTTATAAAAAAGAGAATCCTTTTTACTGAAAAAAAAAAGATTTTTAATGTGGAATGTAAAATAATTAAAAAATTATAAAAATAAATCTTAAAAAAGGAAAAAAGAGAAAAGATTTTTATACAGTTAATCCTGCTATCCTCTTTCCCTCCCTCTACTCCTCAGTACCTCCTCTCCCATCCAGATCCACCCCATTTCTGTCTCTCATTAGATAATAAACAAGCTTCCAAAGAAATATAATGATGTGATATGATAACAACGTAACATAAAACAAAAACTAACATGTTGGAATAAGACAAAACAAACAGAAGCAAAAGAGTGCAAAACAGCACAAGAAACATCTATCTAGAGACCCACTCACTTGCACACTCAGGAATACTATAAAAACTCTCAAGTGGAAGCCATGATACATATGCAAAAGAACTGCAGGGCAAGAAGATATGGGGTAGGTAGGGTGTTAGTTGGGAGGGGGCAGGAGAGGAAGGGAGGGAGGGGGAACTGGTATTGGCATGTAAAATAATCTTGTTTCTAATTCAAATAAATAAGTGGAGAAAAAAAGAATTACTTGTACTTACCATAAAATACTCATCAAATAAAGCTTAATGTGGAATGAATATTTTTAAAAAAGATACGTGTGTGTCTATGATAAAAATAAAAATAAGCTGGGCATTGGTGGCTCATGCCTTTAATCCTAGCACTCAGGAGGCAGAGGCAGGCGGATCTCTGTGAGTTTGAGGCCACCCTGGTCTCCAGAGCGAGTGCCAGGATAGGCTCCAAAGCTACACAGAGAAACACTGTCTCGAAAAACCAAAAATAAATAAATAAATAAAGATAAAAAATAGGCTAAAATGAAAAAAGAAAAAAGAAAAAGAAAAGCCCTGACAATGACACTTGGGTTTTAATTCATTCCAGATGTACTCAAGCTGAAAACTAAGAATAACTATCACAAGTGATATAGCAGTATCTTGAAGTAGATCAATTCCCAAGTGAAGGACGGTATCAACTACATTAAAAGTTAGTGTTTTTTTCTGATTTTATTTTTTGTTTTTGTTTTGATACAAAACAGAGTTACCTAGAAAGTGTGAACCTCAATTAAGGGTTTGCCTCTATCAGATTTACCTGTGGGCGTGCTGGAAGATTATTTATATGGGTAATGGTTGCTATTAGAGGTCTCAGCCAATGTAGGCAGTGCCATCCCTGGGAAATGCCCATTGGTTGTTAAAGAAGGTAGTTGAACAATGCATGGAAACACTCCAGTAATCGGCAATCTGCTATGGCCTCTGCTTCAGTTTATGCCTTATCTTTCCCCCAGGATGGACTATAACCCATAAGTCAAACAAACCCTTTGTCCTCAAATTGCTTTTGGTCAATATTTTCTCACAGCAAGAATAAAATAAACGAGGACACTGCTATTTATCTCACTCCCAGCTTTTGGAGTTGCTCCATACAATCTCTAGTCATCTGAATAGAAATATCAAGAAAAATGGTAAAGTTTGTAACAGAAAAATTTTCATTTCAGAGACTTACAAGACATTACATTTTCTTTTTTATATATAAACATATTTTTTATTTTAAAAACAATCTTATTTTACATATCAATCCCCCATTCCCTCACCTTCTCATACTCTCATATCTCCCCACCAAGCCCCCCAAAACCAACCCTTACCCACTCCCCAAAGATAGTGAGGACTTCCACGGGAGATAATAAAAGTCTGCCACATCATTTGGGGGAGGGCCTAGGCTCTCTTCCATGTATCTTGGCTGCAATAATATACCTCCATAGGGAATGGGCTCCCAAAGTCCATTTGTGCACTAGGGATAAACACTGGCTCCACTGTTAGCGGTCCCATAGACTGCCCAGGCCTCCTAACTGGCACCCACATTCAGAGGTCTTGGTTCAGTCCAATGCTGGTTCCCCAGCTTTACAACTGGGGTCCCTGGGCTCTCACTAGTTCAGGTCAACTGTTTCTGTAGGTTTCTCCAACAAGATCTTGGCTCCTTTGCTCATCTCTCCTCCCTCTCTACAACTGGATTCCGGGAGTATGGCTCAGTGCTTAGCTGTGGGAACTTGCTTCTGCTTCGATCAGCTGGATGAAAGCTCTAGGATGGCAACTAAGGTACTCACCAATCTCATTATAGAGGAAGGACATCAAAGGCAGCCTCTCCGCTACTGCCTAGATTCCTAGTTGGGGTCATCCTTGTGGATCACTGAACATTTCCCTAGTGCCAGATTTCTCTTTAATCCTATACTGGCTCCCTCTACTAAGGTGTCTCTTTTGTTGCTCTCCTCTATTCCTCCCCTGTCTCAGTCTTGCTGATCCCTCTGTTCTCCTCCACCCTCCTTTTCTCCCCTTCTCTTTTTCCTACCTCCCTCCTCTCTCCCCACTGTGCTCCCAATTTGCTCAGAGGTTCTTGTCTCTTTCCCTTCTTTGGGGGATGTGTTTCTCTCTTAGGGTCCTCCTTGTTTCCTAGTTTCTCTGGTGGTGTGGATTGTAGGCTGGCAGTCCTTTGATCTATTTCTAATATTTATATACCCTTGCAGATGCTTTCAGTGATCTCAGAACAGTACATTTTCCAGTGGATTCCAATGAACATTTAGAGAAAAGTGAGTATGGTATTCTTTCCATGTTCATCTGCAAACCCAGAGTACTGAAGTCCTTGGTACATTCCTCAAAAGTGTACTCTTATGCAAGTTCTGGATTATAAAGAGTAAAGTTCAACAAGCCAATAAATTAGTCTCCTATGCTGGCTTTTCCCATACAAAATATACTATAAATATGGTAGTTAACAGTAGACAGAGTAGGTACTCAGGGAAAGATTGATGTTGCTGTGACAAGAAAAAACATTCTATGATTAAGGGGTCCTTTATAGACCATGAGCTGTTGTGTGCCTGTTAGAAATTTATTCAGAAAACATAATTGTATAAAAACCTTATGGGAAGTAGAGGAGATAGAAAGATACTAATGCTAAATAGGCAACACCATATTGGAAAAATAATAAAAGCGTAATACAACACATTACCTCTTTGACCTTTTGTATGAGTTGACCAGACTAATGTGAGCTCTTAAGGTTTTCTTTAAGTTATACAAAAACAAATGAACTGCCTATGAACATGGTTTCAAATGAACTTGTTTATTTAGCAAAGTGAAAGGCACATGGGGTAGATTAATTGTGCATATTGACAGAGCTTTTTTTTTACACACAATCACATATTAAAACTAAAGTCAGAAGACGCTGTTCCAGTTTATGACTTTATAATCACCCGCTTATCTTAGACTACTTCCTTAATACAATGATAAACCCCAGATTGTCTACACTATACAAAAAGTCAAAATGATGACATTTAGCCAGAATGAACAACAGAAGCCTATTTACTAGTTTGTATGTGACTGGAGACTCATTTGTGGGCAGATGTAAATATGTACAGGTATTCACAAATGTGAGTGTGTGTGTGAGTGTGTGTGTGTGTGTGTGTGTGTGTGTGTGTGTGTGTGTGTGTGTGTGTGTACTGGCGACTTCAAGAACATGCAATTGGAGGCTAGAGCACAACCTTTTATGTTCTTTCTTAGTTGTCATCTGTCTCTCATTTTGCATGAGACAAAGTCTCTCACTGGCTTGGAATGTTCCATGCAAGCTAGGAAAGATGACCAATGGACTCCACGGAGCTGCCTTTTTCTTTAGCCAGCACTGAGATTACAAGGGTGAACCATGACACCCACATTTTAGAATGTGATTTTGGAGATGGAACTCATGTCTTCATATTCTAGGATAAGTACTCTACCAAATAAGCTATCTCCCAGCGCCCATGTTAACATTTGAAATGGTAAACCATGAAATCTGTCCTTAACATCTGAACTGTATAATAAACTGTGCTGGTAATTCAACACATGTATATTAATATTGCATTTATCCAACAATTTAACCTATTTTAGTAATTTGTTTATTAGATACTTTGTTGTTTGTGTGTGTTAATTTTGCAGTCCTTGAGCTGATGAGTTGTAATGGTGTGCTTACTTCCAGTCTCGTCACCTGGGTTTCATTTTTTAAACTGCCAGGAGCACAGAGGTCCTTGTACTCACTGAGAAGCACTAAAAGAATCAAGATGTTAAACATTCAGGGATGTCTCCTCAATAGCAATAATAAAAATCAATACCTACATTCCATCCAGAAAGTTGAGAATGGATGTTCTTAACAACCTAGTGACCTTTTCGATATGTGAATGGATAGACATCACCTTAATTCCCCCAAATTGTTGTTTCAGACTCTTCCCTCACTAGATCATTATACATCTTTAGGGTAGATGTCACATGTACTTTATGGCCTGTTGACCTCGAAGCTATCAGTCAGAGACTACATTAGGTTCCAGGCCTTTTAGGTATAGTATGTGGTCACATGTACTTTGTTAAAAAGTCCTTATGTAGTCACACCTTAAACTTTATTTTGCATCTGGAATTGGACTGATTGGACTCATTTCTGCCTAGAAATCTTTCCCCTAAGTTGCACCGTGTTTTACATTTACCGACGATGAACTGCCTGGTATTAGACTCCCAGAAGTCTGACCCAGGTTGATGAAGAAGCTTTGCATTCTTATCTCTTTATTCAGTTCACTTCCCTGTGTGATACCTGCCAGGCCCCCCACCTGACACATATGGTAGAAGAGGAGAAGGGACTCTCCCAGGTTGTCTACAGATCTTCACAGGGCAGCCATGGCAGGTAAGTGCATACTGACACTCTGTACTAGTTAGTGTGTTCTCAATTTGAAGCCACCTTGGATCATCTAGGAAGAGGAAATCTCAATTGAGAAAGTGGCTCTATCAAATTGGCCTGTAGGCA